AAAAAGCTGAGGTCACCAACCGCTGGTGAGTGTATAAAATTCCTGGTAGCCTGAGAAAATTGTAACAAGTTCATCTGATCCTCGGTGACTTCTTGCAGCTGTCTTGACGAGACTTTGTACTGAAGAGAGGTCTGCACGAATGGTTTCATATGCTTTCTCGCTACACTGAAATTGGAGCTTGATCGGAGAACAAGAATTTAGGGATGTCAAAGGACTTACAATTCAGTCCCTGGAGTTACCAGGTTGTAAAAATGTTTGGCAATAAAGCGGTCGATACGGGCTGTATGACTGGAAATAAACCGATCCCTTGTATCAAGCATCAAATTGTGGACACCTTGACACCAAAGACGACATGCCTCAGCTGATTCAACTGAAATTAAACCGGTAACCTTTACTAGTTTTCTTCAAATTCGGTGGAAAAACCCCAAAGGAAGAAAAGGAATAGAAAGATATGAAAGAAAAAAAGAAAATCATCATCATTGCTCTGTTCATACAGGAATAACCAAACATGGTGAGCTGAGCAGCTCTTCGAACTTTAGCCCTTTCTATCTGTAGCTCCACCTGACACAAAGACGGAGCTCCTTAGTAGGAAATGTACGAAATCATGAAGACTTCTCTTCGATACGCGGTAGAGTTGAGTTTTTCTAAAGAGATTTCCCAATCTTAAAAAGGTCAGATAGTTTCTTAACTTGGTTATGCAGAGAAATCTTTGGTTCGGTCATTTTTTTACCCATAACTGTAATCATAGCGCATAGAGTAACAATCGATATTGATCGGAAGTATCGATTTTCCCATAGAAGGCCAAATGAGATCAGCAATCCCGTTAACGGTTGGATATGATCAGAAAATTAAAAAATACACAGAAACATGGCTTAATCCAAATCACTCAGGAATTCCGAATTATTGCTCCAGGAAAAAACGGTAGCGGAGGAAAAGGAGTAGCATATTGGCTAGAGAGACCACATCATCACCCAAAAGACTCAAAACTTTGGCTCTGCAGCACAGCTTTGAGGTCCAATCGACATAAACTAATGGATAGCTCAGTATTTTAGTTTAAAAAGGGTATAGCGCACCAGGTTCTCAACAGCACGACTCCCATAAGGCCATAGCATCGATGTACGATAGAAAATTTTAAAAAAGAAAGCAGAAAAAAAGCGCGAAATGAGCAAACAGTGTACGTGTCACCTTAAGAGTCACAAAACTCACACAGCAGTGTCCATTCCTTGAGTGTGAACTGAGTCCCATGGGAGATGACAAGAATTTTCAGTGGGTCAAAATTTTGGATTTCCCTATCTCGTTTCCATTTGTCTCCTATTTGAATTGCCGATAATTTGAAATCCAACGTTTGAACTTCACGTACATGACGAAGATCAAGTACAGTCGGTTTGTTTCTGAAAACTAATTGTAAGCTCAAGACAACTTTAGTGAAACCAGAGCTTCTATTGCATATCCATATACAGGAATCTTTCATAGATAAAATTAGTAATGAGTAACCCAAGGCAGATGTGATATGAGGCTGCTTTCATAGTTCACGATTCGGCCCGCGAGCGAGCGACTGAGCGACCGAGCGATTGGGACGGCGCCTGCCCGCGATATCGACCAAGATTCAGTTGTAAACAAGGGCCAAGCGCCGCCCCAATCGCTCGATCGCTCGCTCGCTGGGGCCAAACCGTGGACTATGAAAGCAGCCTAATGGCTCACGATGCTCTTTTAGACCAAATGAACCATACCATCCTCCGAGGTTGGCTGACGGTACCAGACCAGCCAAGAAGTACAAAAGCTCTGACTTGCACATCAGATGGCCCCCACAAATCATTGTATGGGCCACATACACATTCAAATACCACCAACTGCGAGTAAGTTCACCTCGGGGGCGCATTCCCGAAACAGGGAACTAATTTTGGCTAAAAGTAACTTCATCCACTTCCTGCACAACCGTTACTGCTGCTGCCGGATCAGAAACGACGACTCCACGACGGTCATGCAAAGAGCTCCAGTCCTGCTGAAGGTCAAAGGGCAGCGCGTGTGATTGTACGGACATATACTGACGTTGAGAAGCCCTCAGAGTGAGTTTCGACAAGGGAGGGAGCGGAATACGAGACTCAAGCCAAGAGATGCTGAGGAGTCCCAAACAGGAGGTGGCGGGGCGTGATCAAGGATTTTTTCCGAACAGTCGACTAACGCTGGGAGAACAAGGGACACAGCCGTCAACTAGGCTGGCTAGTGCTATCACATACGCTTTCCCATCCACTCCTAGATCCACACCGCTTCTATGCTCGTTCAAAGCTCTGGGCGAAGGGCTCAATGAATGATTTGGTGAGATGCAGGCAGTCGAAAAAAAAA